CTATAGTCGAACCTTAAACTGAATAACTAAATGAATAGCGATACTTACTTCTGTTTGGCATGAGTAAATAAGAAAGTGACCAAGAAGTAGTAATTTTACCAGCCAATATGGGCACTGCCAGCATCCGGCATGTCACCATTTAAGCTTAATGTGACACTCTAGGTTAATATTTTAGAAAACAAAAAGATTTATTAAAATTGTGCACAAAACTACGCATATCGCACACTGTTTCAACGGAGTTATAACCACTAACATCAGTCACGCTATTTATAGCTTACACAGCAACATGTCGGATAACGGCAGTGAATATGGTGCTAACTGGACATCGCTTAGTTGGTTCACATATATAAAGTTGTGGACATGAGCAATATACTTGGATTAACCCGCCTTATGCTCGCCTGGTTAACTAGTTTACTAGTTACTAGCCGGTCCTAAGCCCGGGTAAAGAGGGAAGGTTGGGCATAGGGCTAGCAACCCTACCCCGTAAAACAAATCTAACCGCTAAAGAAACTTCAAAGCACAAACAAAATATAAAAAATGAAAACAAACTTATTCCCCGCTGGAATCGGAGAGGCGAAATGACGCCAGTTGGTGAAAGCCTTCGGGAAGCCAATTGGCCGATGTGTCTTCTCTCGATGAAAGCGAAAGTAAACGTGGGGACATGGAATGTCCGCACGATGTTTGAACCCAGTAAGGCAGCCCAGATTGCAAGGAGATGAGAAGGTATAACATCGAAGTGCTTGGGATTTGCGAAAGCAGATGGAATGGGAGTGGACTCTCCAAACTGTCAACTGGAGAATCAATAATCTACTCCGGTCACCCAGACGCCAACCACGAGCACACTGAGGGAGTGGCTATCATGATGTCCTCAAGAGCATCGAAGGCTCTCATGCAGTGGGAACCAATCTCCTCCAGGATCATGACAGCAAGATTCAACTCAAAAGGAAGAAAGGTCACAATCATACAATGTTATGCACCTACAAATAATGCAGAGCAAGAGAAAAAGGAGGATTTCTACAGACAACTTCAATCAACACTGGACAAGACGTCAGTTGGCGATATCAAAATTCTGATGGGCGACATGAATGCCAAACTGGGAGGGGACAACACGGGAAGAGAACTAACCATGGGTCGAGAGGCACTAGGTGAAATGAATGAGAATGGAGAATTGTTTGCAGAATTCTGTGCATTCAACGATTTGGTGATTGGAGGCAGTGTGTTCAGGCACAAAGATATCCACAAAGCGACATGGATTTCACCAGATGGACACACTAAAAATCAAATCGACTTTATCTCAATCTCAAGAAAATGGAGACGCAGTCTACTTAACACAAGGTCAAGAAGAGGAGCAGATGTAGGTTCAGACCACTATCTAGTGCAAGGAACCTTCCAAATCAAGTTAAAAGCCTTCAAGGAAGCTGGTGATAGACCTCAACTCAAGTACAACACTCGGAAACTGAAGGATGAAACTACAAAGGAGATCTTCAAAGCAGCCATCAAGACAAAATGGGAGACATCGAGCAACATCCCTGAAGAAACCTGTGTGGAAGAACACTGGAAGTCTTTGAAAGCTATGTGGAAAGAAACCTGCACAACAGTATTAGGAAGGAAGAAGAAAGAAGACAAGGAATGGATCTCGACGGATACCTGGAAGCTGATAGAGCAGGAGAGTAGGATGGTGAAGCAGAAGATAAGCCAGTGCAAGGATGCTCAACGACAAGAGGAACTGAGCACAATGTATAAAACACTGGACAAAAAAGTGGAGAAGAGTGCACGCAAAGACAAAAGACACTTCTACGAAACACTGGCAAGTGAAGCAGAACACACAGGCTGCAGGTAAGAGAGACCTGACGACATTGTATCAAATAACCAGGTTGCTATCAGGGAAGAGACCAACACAGATGAAACCAATAAAAGATGAAGAAGGAAATTTAATTACAAAAGAAGAGAAACAGAGGAAACGATGGGCCGACCACTTCAAGAAGCTCTTGAATCGACCACCGCCACCACCTGCACTTCGTCCAGAAATACCACCTGCAGCCCAGCCGCTGAACTACAAGTGAACATTAATCCCCCAACGAAAATGGAAGTCCTGAACGCCATAAAGCTACTGAAATGCGGGAAAGCAGCAGGACCAGATGGAATACCGCCAGAAGCACTGAGAACAGACGCAGAGACAACAGCGGACATGCTCACACCACTATTGCAGAAGGTGTGGAAGGAAGAGCAGCTGGTGGTAAAATATTAAGCCGCATCATCCTGGAGAGGCTAAGGGATGCACTGGATTCAAAACTACGACCGGAACAGGCAGGCTTCAGGAAGTACAAATCATGTGCAGACCAAATTGCAACGCTTCGTATCATCATAGAACAGAGCATAGAATGGCAATCACCTCTCCACCTCAACTTCATCGACTTTGAGAAGGCCTTTGACAGCGTCGACCGAGAAGTAATTTGGAAACTGCTTCAATACTACGGAGTACCGCAAACCTTTATCAACCTCATTCAACAACTATATGAAGATGCTACATGCCAAGTAATCCACAATGGGAAGCTCAGTGATGCCTTTGAAGTGAAGACAGGAGTGAAACAAGGTTGCCTACTATCCCCCATGATATTCTTGATTGTGGTGGACTGGATCATGCAGCAAACAGTAGGCAGCGAGAAGAGGGGGATACACTGGACGACGGAAAAGAACCTAGAAGACTTGGATTTCGCCGATGACTTATGCCTAATGTCACATAAACTTGAAGATCTGCAGGCAAAAACTAACAAGTTGATAGAAGAGGCAGCGAAGACGGGACTTCAGGTGAATATAGAGAAGACAGAAGTGATGAAGATACCGCACCACCACCATCAACAACAACAAACTCCAATCACCGTCAACGGAAGAAACTTAAAGGAAGTAACCTCCTTCACCTATCTAGGAAGCACTGTTTCAACTACAGGCGGGACGGACGAAGACGTCAAAGTCAGAATCGGAAAAGCAAGACAGGCGTTCATTAGCCTGAAACCAGTGTGGAGATCTTCTGCACTCAGCATGCGGAACAAGATACGGATTTTCAACACCAACGTCAAGTCAGTGCTCTTGTATGGCTCAGAGACTTGGCGCGTCACGAAAGGCATTTCCAATAAACTACAGACATTCATCAACAACTGCTTACGCTCGCTGCTGAAGATCAGATGGCCAGAAAAAATAAGCAACAAGGAACTCTGGGAACGAACCAACTAAGAACCTATCACGCAACAAATATGCAGGAAGAAGTGGAGATGGATTGGCCATGCACTGAGAAGGCCGACGGAGGACATCACGCGTCAGGCCAGTTGCTCGAGTAGAATCCCCATGGGAAGCGACAAGTTGGACGTCAGAGGGTGACATGGATGAGGTCGTGCGAGCAGGAAATGAGAGCTTCTGGGCTGTCGTGGGACCAGGTTCAAAAGATCTCAGAGAACAGAGTGTACTGGAGGCGTGCTACTGAAGCCCTATGTTCCACTAGGAACCCAAGGGACTAATAATATAATATAACCCGCCTTATGAGCCTGATGTGTTTAAAATACCTAAATACTGGCTAGTTAATTAATTGAAATGATAACATCTACAATCAAAGTAAGTGTTCGTATGATTCCCAGTTCGTGGCAAGAATGACACTATGTAAAAAACATCAGGAAGATTCGATTCTGGCTTTCAGTTTATAATATTTCAATAAGGTGGTATATGTCGTGCAGTTCTAATCGCTTTATGACGTTATTTCCAGTGATGAACCGATCGTAAGTTAATGAAATTTCCCATTATAGCAGGTTGTCATCGTCACTAATGAGCTAAAATTAGCGCGAACGCTCATTGCGGCACTGTGAAACTTGTTGTCTACAAAATGATATTCGAGGAAATTATCGACTTGCACTTTGAGTGAATAAGTAGAAAGACAGTAGACTGACATAGGTGTTAAAATCCTGACTAAGTGGTTTCTATTTCAAATCTGTCTGTCTTAACAGTTTGGTTTCTGATGTCCGACCACTGTCACCGTCGCATAGGTCATGTATTGTGCTGTCACCACGTCACTAACCTAGGAACTAGGCACACAATTTTAGGGAGAGAGTAAAAGTTAGTTGATGAGATTGTGAACCTTCATCGACTTAGGAGACTGGGACATGTGATACACATGCTTTATACCATCTACACTGTCACACAATGCTAGCTGAAGTGAGTTCAGTCTGGAAAAAGGTTGGAGACAGTCAGACTAAAATATGGCATGTGTGTAAGGTCCCTGATTGTTGGTCTGAAACGTGTAGGTTAATGTAAGCTTCCCAGTTTGGGTCCGCTTGACAATAGAAATGAGTGATCGTAGACTAGCCTCATAATCGATCTCAACGGCACAGATTCATCCACACGTTGTTTCAATTGTCATACTGAATTCCAGTATCCTATTATTCCTCTTTGTTCTCTTTCGATGACTTTCTCTACCAGCTTTATTCTTTATTTCCTTATCTTTCATCTTAGCGCATTCTCGTTTGATGTGCTCAAATGAGGTGTGTTAACTTGAACTACTAAAGAGTAAGGCTAGGTCCTGTATTGATAGGCTATGTTCAGTAGTCTAGCTTCCATAACAGCTTAGACACCTCACTCAAAATAAGTTTCAAACTTCATGAACATACCTTCTGGACTCACAGCACAAGTTAAAACGTGGTAGATTTTTTCGAATTTTATGTATAGATGACACTACTAATCAAGCATCAGATGAAACACGCATACCAGCAAATAGAACGCTTCTACATTAACCCGATATAACTAGTATAAGTTCAACTCATCGTAGGTAAGTTTCATAAATACACATTCAATATTTATTTTAGTCACTAACTGGAGGTTACTTTTTTTAAAGTATCTATCTAGGAATAAGTTGCAACAAAAGTTACGGTGAAATCTTCTTAATGATCAAGAAGAATGAGTGTTAATTTCAAAGGCAGTAAGTGAACCTAGTAATTAAAAAGAGTTAATAAACTCACCTAGCACACATGTATCCTCAAAATCATCACCTGTGACAGTTATTGATGTATTATTGAAATCCAGAATTGCACTTGAAGGCAAACTTGGAACTGGTGTCAAGTGTGAATGAGGGGAAGGTACTCTGTCTAATCTCAACTTCTGGTCAGTGGGGAGACTGAGAAAACGATGTCTCATTGACTGCTCAGACATAGGCAGTTATACGTTTAAAAATCTGTCAAACGAAAGATATGATGGAAGTTAGAATAGTATTACATATAATGATAGTTATGGTGTCCCTGAAGAATTGCTATAGGTTCATTTTTGTGTCTATCTGATCTTCGGGACTCCTATTTACTGTTATTTATTAGGACTTATATACAACCAACATAAAAATGCCAGATATATCCTATAGTGAAATAAATGGAAAACGATATCGATGCACATGCATAGACCAGTGTCCCCACTTGATACAAAATCACGCGCTCAGGAAATTCGGTTTTATTAGTCTGTTTCGGCAGTGGAAAAGTATCTGGAGACGACTTGCTAGTTTTAGGGGGAAAATATCTAGGACCTCAAAGGAGCATATCTACGAGTTCTTGGACATTAGTAAATTAGTCTGGTTCTAAACCTAGATATTGTGGAAATGAGTTCCTTTGCCTAGATGACACGACCGAACAATCAGTCAATATTTCACTCAAATGAATAAGAGTGAGTATTATCGCTCGTTTCTATTCAAAAAGTAAGATAGTTCAGTAAGTTTAAAGTAGATACAACAGGGAAGATTGTGACAACAATTTGGTGCCTAAGTTTTCACGTTTAGTTGAACACGTTTTTTTGTTACGAAAGTCGGTGACAATATCGGTGCCGACTTCTTTTTGAAGTTGGTCATGTAGAGATTGGACATAGTCTACTGTAAGGCTTTAGTTGATGAGGTCGTACACATACTGGGGTCGTGTCGCATATCTAGTGACCACAGACCCTGATGCTTGGTTTTTGCTGAAATAGGCACAGGCCAGAAGGCTACAAGCGGAGAGTTCATACAATTTCTGCCTACTGGAGCGAGCTGTGAAGGGGTTTTCTGATTTTACGACTGTAGTTGGGGTCAGTGTGACAACTGACACTGGTAGTTGAAGACTCACCTTAGTGTTGCTCGGAATCGGTCACTTTACAATCAATAAAAATTTACAACTACATGAAAAAGAAAATGACCAAACATTGTAACCAATTGAATACAAATGTATTATCACTGCGTATATAATGTTATAAGTATGTATCAGAACGGCGTTCAAAATTCAAAACGTAGAACAATCACGAAGTATTTGTCTGCCCAAAAGCACTGACAAAAAAAAGAGGATGACCCAAGAATTAGACCCATTTTTTGATAAACTGCGACTTTAACTTGTCAGGATAGATTATGCTCAGCATGTAATGTTCATCTGGGACACTCCATTTATGGTACCATGAAAGTATTATTCCACAAACAAGTGATTTTTACAAGTCGAACTTTGAATAAACGGCATACTTTTGACTGAAATGACTTTTAAGCATGCAATAATATTATATAACAGCTTGAAGACTATAATTTCAATGTAACTTAAGGAACACTACTCAATATATTAGAACTAAGTAAGATTCATGAAAGTCCGACAAGACTATAGGCATAAATGATGAAACCAGTCTTACATGACAACAACAACTATAACACAACGCCACCACACGGTACCGCATACTAACATATGCACCGCTTTACTTCAAACTTCAAACCTCAATATCCAACATCCGATAACTTTTTAACGAGCTTGTGTACACCAATTGATTTCTTCGCGCTCGCTTCTTGGCCTTGCGGAACGGCTCCAGATCTTTTGACGGATTCTGATGCAGTAGGTCCAGCTACTCGTCTGCTATAGCTCTGATTAACAGAACAAGAAGTTAAGTGTTGATTTGTTTGCCTTGGACTGCGGTGCAGTTGGCTTCTTCAGATGTCGAGTTGCCAGACAGCCATTAGGACTGGTCGCTAGAGAGGGTTGGGGATGGTGAAGAGAAAACCTAGAAAGTGTTTGTGCGAGTAAAAGAGGAGTGGAAAAGTGAACTAATGGAGTAATCTACCTACACCCAAGTAAGGTGAGTAGGGGTGCAAAGGTATGAAAAACTTAGGTGAGTGAGGCTAACTTATGACAAGTGGAAGAGTTGAAAAGGGCTTAAATGGTTACAATAGAAAGAAGACTGGTTGGGGTGGCTTGACATCACTTCCTGTTCCAGCTATGCGTGGATAAGCCGTGAGTCTCTGCATGACCGTCTAGCCTCTTCTTGAAGCTTTCAACAGTTGGGGAGGAGACCACCTCTGCTGGTAGTGCATTCAAGTGCCCACAGACTCGGAGAGAGAAGAAGTGTGAACGCACATGCAATTTTTGAACTTTGGTGGGCTATTCTACTGGGATTTCCTAGAGGATCTCCGTAGTGGCCACTCGGTAGGACTCCCCTGTTTGGGTGACTTGGGTTACTCATTATTTCGTAAGCCACTACTAAGTCGCCACGTATCCTTCGATAGCTTAGACGGTATAGGCCTAGGTCTTTGAGTCTATCCTCATATGGTTTTCGCTGAATTCTAACAACCCCTTTTGTGGCTCGCCCCTGAACTTTCTCCAGTAGGTTATTGTCACTTTTCAGCTGTGGTGGAGCGAAGACGTCACGGACCTCTAAGTGGGGCCGTATGTAAGTCCTGTAGAGCTTCGGAAAGAGCTCTGAAGTGAGGGCATCCAGTTGTTTATGCACAAAGTGTAGTACCCCGTATGCTTTTGAGACATCACCTGGGTAATTGGAACTGGTGTCCAGTTTCTCCGTCACCGGTAAACCCAGGTCTTTTTCTACTGTGGTATGGGATTAACGTGAACCACAGAGATAGTAGGGTGTTTTCTGGGGATCAGGAGTGTGGAAAAACATGGACCGGCACTTATCCAGGTTAAATGCCAGTTGGTTATTAGTTCCCCATTCCTCTAGCTTTCTGAGGTCCTTCTGTAATGCCATAGATTCCGCCTCGCAAGTTATTGTCCTCCATTACTTGACATCATCAGCGCACAGGAGAATCGGGTAGCTGGTATGTTGCTGCAAGTCATTTACGAACAGTAGGAACAACAGTGGGCCCAAGATTGCTTCTTGTGACGCACCGGATGAGGATGTTCTCCAAGTTGAGTAGACCCTGTTGACTTTCGTACAGAACTCCCTGTTGTCTAAGTAGTTCTGCAACCACGACAGCACCTGGCTGCGAATACCTAACCCAGCTATCTTATGTATTGGGATATTGTGTGAGACGGTGTCAAAGGCTTTGGCGAAGTCCAGAAAAATTAAGTGGACCGGGACCTTGAGGTCCCAGCATTCTGTACAATGATCATGGGCCGTCAGGAGGTTGGAGGCACAGGACCTACCCTTAGGGAAGCCATGTTGAGCGTCACTGAGTGCCCGCTTGGTGTCCAGGTATTCTCTGATCCGGTAGTCCATCACACTTTCCACTACTTTTGATATTACTGGTAGAAGTGCTATGGGTCGATAACAGTTGGGATTCTGTCTATCTCCTCGTTTGAAGATGGGAGAAAGGATAGCCAGTTTCCACTCTCGTGGGAACTTTCGCTCATCCAAGGAGTGTTGGAAGAAGTTGCAGAGTGGGCCGCTTAGGGTACTTGTACATTCTTTCAACACGGATGGGAGAATGTCGTCGCATCCTGGAGATTTTTCGCGCTTAACTTTAAAAGCTTGTCGAGAACAACAGCGCGAGTTATCTGTATTTCGTGTAACTCAGTAGCATCGGGTAACGTTGAAGGTTGTTCGTGCAACTGGTATGCGCAGTTTCTTGATGGGATGTTGAGCTGTGTGTCGAATGTGGTGCTCAGCACTTCAGCAATCTCCTGTTCAGAGAGGTTTTCTCCGTTCGGACCTTTTATGACACATGCTCCTTGGCTTGTCGATTTTCTTTCTGCCATGAATCGGGAAAGGTTTTTTGGGTTTGCCTCAGGTCTTTCGGCGAGGTTGGACTGGAACGACCTCCTGTCTCCCTGCACCCTTGTGTTGCTCCGATTCCGTGGAGTCATGTATGCGTCGTGGTCATCCTGTTCGCTGGAGAGTCTCCATGTGTGCCATGCCCTTCTCTTGGCTTTTAGAAGGCGCTCAGCGCCCCGTTTTAGCCATGACTTTCGCTTTCTGGTTGTTATTACCGCCAAAAAAACGTTTTGCGAGACGGCCGCCTTAATGATGTCTTTTACCAGTTCCCAGTGCCGGTCGGTCGATAAGGAACACCAATCCACTGGCCACGAAGCTGTTGAAAGGCTCTTGTTCATACCTTCGTAATTTGCCATGTTGTAACATAGGTAAGGGCGAGGTCCCTCCCGTGATAGCTCTTCACTAAATACCAGGTGGAACATTACCGTAGCGTGATCGCTACTTCCAAGAGTGGTTTGTACCTGAACGTTTTCAACCAGAAGGAGATCACTAGTCAGTAGGTAATCCAGTTTAGATGGTTTACCATCTGACCCCCAGCGGGTGCTGTCGCTGATTTTTTCCTGCAATCCAGCCATTTGGATGGCGTTTAGCAGGTTACGGTCGAACTTTCGGCTCGTGTTAGTGCCACCTTGCTCTAGACTGAGGGTTGGAGTGTTGAAGTCGCCAGCTATTAAAATCTGGTCGTACCCCATAGTTGACACTGTGGATATTGCTTGGAGTAGTTTTTGGTTGTGTTCCGAGTTGCTGTTAAGGGACCTATAGATTCCTCCAAATAAGAATTTGGTGTGTTTGGGCGTGAAGTGGCACTAGACAGAGTCTAGGAGCTCTGTCAGTGCCGTGTCAGTGGTTTGTTCACTTCTGAACCACTTGTTCACGTATATTGCAACCCCCCTCCCTCCCTATGTTCTCTGCCTCTCCTGAACGGAATCACATCATCTATGTTAACTTCGGTGTCAATTATATCTAGTGACAACCACGTTTCTGTCGGGATCATGATTTTCAGGGCGATGCCGAGGGTCAGTGGAACTGGCCCAGTTAAGTTTTTTCCCTCGTCGACTGGTGCATTCGGTGTTGAGTGGAGGTTGCTGGTCTGATTCTCAACGTTTCGGCTTAGGGTTACGGTGGCCTGAGCACAGGGCGTAACTGCTGTCCGTTGTTGTTGTTGCAGTGTTCTCGGTCTGCTTTCACAGTAGCGAACGTTACCGCTTATGGTGCACTTG